TAGAAACCATCCGCATGACCATGACTCCTACAATAACAGAAAATCCTCCACAACAATAAAGACAGCAATTTGGGACCTGCATAAACTGCCGTTGGTCTTCCCATTGGAACCACATTCGTATTCCGTCCTCTAAAAATGTTGAGACGAGACAAAGTCGTGCAACATGCGGTAGAATGTGTCTGGTACGGCGTAACACCTAAATTGATTGGATAAGTGGTCTTCATATTAACACACGCTTTAAATTATTTTTGATGAAGAACCACTTTGAGCAAGAGCTGCATTCTGCCACATATTGTTATTAGTGCAGATAAAAGCTAGGAAAGAATAAAGCTTGTGTTTGAGGTTTGGTAGATGGAAATCCAAAATAGACGTTGAAACTCACATCATCCGCCAAATCCTCGGCCCCAGCAAAAAACTCCCGTTGCGGGCCTCCCGTACGGAATTGATTCATCACCTTGAGAACTATTATAATTTGCCAAAGACGATAAAGAAGAACGTTTTGGGGTGGCAACCACAGTATACAATATTACAAGCGTGATCTCATGAGCCTGCCGAAAGGAACGGCAGGGACGGCACATGCGTCGACGCAGTAATTTTGCAATAAAAAAAGACAGACAGGAAAGTAGAGATTTGAGTGAAAAACTCCTTAGTGATTAAGAGGAATTTAAAATAGAATAATAATGACTTTATTAGCCGGTTACTTGTTAATTTAACACAGAGATCTCAAGGACTGACGGGCCCATCGTAATAAGCCAACACAGAAAAATGTAGTTAATGAGACTATAGAAGAACGTGAAACAAGGTTGGTGCATCACAACAAGAGCGCGCTATTCAGACAGTCAGCATAATGCGACATGTATAATTTTTGAAAAGAATAAGCTGCTTGATAGTAAGATAGTAATTAAGAAGAAGTTCGGCGGACGTCTACATTACTATGAATGACCTTATACCTTCGACAACGAAAAGAAAAGGTTGCTAAATATATCCGGCAAAGAGGACACGAAAGTCAGAGACGCCGGCAACCAATGGGTATACTACATCGTGATAGCCCTGTAACACTCGTTGGTAATCCACGTAATCAATCGATAGACACACAATCAAGATGGATTTCAAAGGTGCCAATGATTGTTGGAGAACAC